TGAGGCGTTTTTCCGCCGCCCTCCCGTCAACAGGGCTGGCGCGGCTGAACCATGCCAGAGGAGAATGAGGGGGAGGCACCGGGAGCAGCCGGCCGGTAGTCCGTGATCGACACTCTCAGAGACAGGGCCACGAGAGGAGCTGAGGGAGGTGTCACGTGACGACCGAGAAAGTCGCGACGCTGAACAGAGGTAGGATGTTCGCAGTAGTATGATAGGGTGGGTTCCGGTGGAACGCTCTCAATGAGCATTGCAGGGCCCAGGCTGTTTCCCTTTGATATTGACTATATCGGTGTGCTTTGATCAGTTCAATATTGCGGCTCTTTCATCGCAGGGACGAGACGTGCAGCCTGCTGATGTATTTCTGTCGGGTGCTTTGTGTGGAATCTGACAAAACGTATTGATTTGTCACTACAATGCACACTTCAAGGTAGGCATAAACAAGCTACATACAAAATGTAAATTGAAACTTGGCATGAATTAAAGTCCAACATTTCTCTGAAATTCTGAGTTGACAACATGCATTCAGCAGTTTTTGCTCTCCGAGGTTTTCATTAGGTAGACGAGCTTCACAAATAATTTGTGTATATACCTACTACATATAAGCAATTTAAATGTGTATATAAATACCTGCAAGAGCAATCATCGCTGCAACGGGCAAACAGTCATATAATCCATAAAAAACCAACCTCTGTTTTTAGCAAAAGGCTAACTATGTAACTATAGACAGGACCCGGGGTTGATAAACTGAATCGAACACAATGACGATTTGTTAACGTAAATGCCTCACAGCAACAGTGGGCATCGGTTTTGATTAAACTGCTGTAACTGAATTCTCCCAGTGTGTTTACTAAGAAAATAATATATGAAAGCGTTGTTTCGAATACGAATGTTGCCATTTAATACAGCCATGCCTACCACTCATCATCCATGGCGAAACAAGCAGCCCATCCAATCAAACATATCCGGAAGCCGCAGCCGCTGCCTGCTGAGATCCCATGCCGGCGCTCTGTAGCCACGGCGCTTAAATACACATAACTATGTAAATTCATTGTACAGCTCATCACTGTGGAAGGTCCGGAGTCTGAACGACCCAAAAAACTAAGCGGAGTCGTCTCTTAGCGGTTAGTTACCACGGAGTATCGCATCACAGGTCAATACGCAGACGCTGTGGTGGGGCTGGCGGGGCTCGGCGGAACTCAAACACAGCCGCCTCAAACCGGCAGTGATGGTGGACTGGGTATCGCATGTCAGCGGACTGCGGACCAGATATCGATGAACTGTGGTCCTGTGGAACGAGTAAAGATGCACTGAGGGACGAGTAAAAATGATCTGAGGGACGGGTGCACACTGCACATCAAGCTGCGTCTCAACCCTGAAAAACCAGCTCCATATCTGCATTCTCTCTGTCTTAACCCTCGCATGTGTGCGGCGTTTTCCAGCTTCTAATGTGTAGGGGGGGGGGGTCGGTTGGACCCCCCCTTGCCGTTTGGCCCCTGGTCGAGCTAGAGCTTCGCGGAAAAAAACGAGCGTGTTGCACGTGACGAGAGGAAGCCGATGATACCCAATTTTAAGGTCCTAGGTCATTGGTTGACCTTCCAGGTCAGGTCAATGACCCAAAGTCGGGAAAATCGGGACCTGTTAGAAAGTCGTAAAGTGTGGCTGCTAAGGGTTTTTTTCGGGGTGCTGATCACGAATATCGTGTTAGTTATGATCACAGATGATGTCTTGAAGCATTTAGACCAGGTCGGGTCAGGTCAGGTCAGGTCAACCAGTAGGCGTCGTGACGGGTATTCGTAGTACGTGTCAACCGCCTCTGACAGCTTCGTAACATGTTACGAAGTCACCAAAACTACTTCGTAAATGTTCAAATGGTTGCTCAATTCGAATTCAGCTCCAAAAACTAGCCTAGAAACATGTAAAACTCGAAAAAGTGACCCGAGGTCACCCGAGGTCACCAAAGGTCAATGACCTGACCTGACCTTCAGGTGACCTTGACACACACGGGAGTAACATCAAATCACATGTTTGAACGTTTGAAACCACGAAAAGCTTGCAAACACGCGGCTAGTGCGAGCCGACATACGCGAAATCGCGATTCCGGCCAAACATGGTCTCGGAAAAGAGGTCACAGGTCAAAGGTCATTTGGGTCAGGGTCATGAAATTTTCAGGGTAGGTGTAAAATTGATCAATGCGAGGGTACTGAAAGTTTCGTCGCGATCGGCCGCTTTTTACGCGATTTATTCGCGAAAAACCATGGGGGGGGTCCATCCGACCCCCCCCCCTACACATGCGAGGGTTAATTACAGCTGGCGATGAAATCCAAACTAATAAAATAAAGTTTTATTGCTTCACTTCATGTTGCCACGACGACATTTTGAGCCGGATGAAATAAAAGTTTATGAGAGGACATGAAAGGCACCATGCCGGCCTTAATTGGGGACTTCGTCATGTATAATGGATGATGATCCTTGGAAAAATGAGCCGCCTGACATAGTGGTGTCTTTCAGCCACCAGGATAATTAAAAAATAAATGTCAAACCATGGGCTAACGCCGGGCGTGGCTCTAACAAAGACTAGCCCGTAAAAGCCTGGGACGCAAGGCATCTCTTTTTAAAGCAGCTTGCATGTTTCTCTTAAAATGACGCCGTGAGTAATGCTGATGTCGTTTTTCATTTAAAAAAAAAACATTTCTTAGCTTAAATGAAAATGAAATATTGGATTTAAAGCGCATAGCAACAGCATCTTGACGACAACGAAACTTGTGGCAGCTAGCTTAGGAATCGAAGAATCACCTAAATAACACACACGTCACACACACAGTAGCGGCGGAACACCTTCAATTAAGGGAGGGGGGGGGGGCACTGCCGACTTTTGATCCCATTCTTTCCATGCAACGCCCTAGGGCTTATGTTAAAATGCCAAAATCAAAGGGAGGCACGGTGCCCCGGTGCCCTCCCCGTTCCGCCGTCTATGCACACATATTTAGTCATTGGCTGCCACCGACATTTTGTCGAATCGAATTCCTCAATCGTCGTTTCACAAGCTAAATTTGAAGTGCATTAGCCTTGGAATGTTTGTCTACGCTTGGTACCTATTCGGTAGGCATTACCATTGCTGATCAATAATAAACGGCTACTCCTTCGTCATAAGTAAAGAATCATGTCAAAAATGTTTATGGCTCAATTAGCCAGACCGTTAATGATACCGCTTCTGAATTTAGCAATATATGCACCGCATCACGGCATAGTGGGCAAAGGGCATCTGCAAATGTAGGCATCGACCTACTTTTCCAAATATTTGCACTCAAATATGCTCTCCAAAACTGACTTGATTTTGAATTCGCGTTGACTGAGAAAGTTAGATCAATGCCGTAGTACTTGCTCCTGAACTGTGAAAGATTTTAGAAAACTTCACACAATTCAAAATTGCAGGTTCACTCGTGAAAGGGACCCCCTGCCCTTCTTGGTTCGTTATCAGCACTCCGTGGTGCACAAAGTCAAAGCACACGGAAGGCCAGTCACCTGTTTCTACATCAGTGCCAGGCAAAGATGACAGATGACTCTTATCAGGCAATATAACCCCACCTTTCAACTCACCGCCTTCATAATTCAGGCATTAGCCAGAGCTTCCAGTGGGACCATTCTTTAGACCGCTGAGATGACCTTCATTGGAAGGACGGTTAGGAGCTATGATTCTATGGAAACTATTGGAATTAACTACGTGTAGGAGGCGATGTTCCTGTTTAGTGCGTCTCTTGTTATTTTTGCCTGTGTTCATGTCTCCACTGTGAACATTGGCGGGTCCAGCGGAGGTGGGGGGGGGGGGGGGGGGGGAGCATTTGAGACAAATGCCTCCAGCCCACAGAGCCCTAAATCAACAAAAATTGCGGTTTTTCGACGATAAAACGAAGACTGAACAACTTTTTATCAGATAAGTCTGTTTTAAACTGCACAGTAGTGCGCAAGGAATATAAATCCATAAGTTTTTGGAATTTAGAGAAACTTATTTGGGTGTATGCCCCAACAGCGTCCAAGACCATGGGTCCGCCAGTGACTGTGAAGCGCGTTATCTTCTTTTCATCTGCAAGTGACATGGCTAAGAAAGTCTGAAACCATGTAAGAGGTTCCTCGAATATAGCTAGAATTTAATATTGACTTTAATTTAATTCTAGCGTACTGAGCTCGAGATGAAATATTTGCTGGGCTGAGGAAATTGCGCCTGACTAATAGCAACAAGGGCTTCCTCGGTATTCCTGAAATAATTTTGTTGCTATGGCCGCCATACAAGTTAGATTCTTGTATCCAACGACGCTAGTTATAAGCACTCTTTGCAGTAGCTAAGTCCATATTTGACGTCAAGAAAGCTCCAACCAATATCATGTTGCGTTTCGGTGCTCCTCAAGGACTGGTTGCTAGATGACGGATATATCGTTGCTTACGTGCAGCATTTTTTTTTTTGTCAATTACCTGAACCTCTGAATGCATAAAGCTCGCTTATCTTAAATGACCAGCGCAATTAGTCTCACTGCTCGTTCTATGAATATCCAGAATGGCCAGCGACCGCCAGCAGATGTTGAATGGTGCAATGGACACCAATCAGGCGCTGCCCGTTGTGTAACGGAGCAGTGAATTATTATTGGACGCTGTTGCCACTTGCCACCAGCCGGGGCTCTCTGACACCCGGCCATACTCGACACGGGGCCTGCAGACAGCACACCTACAGTTGTACAGTTCACTCGTCTGAATGGCCGTTCAGAGACGGTTCATTGCGGACCGAGTGACAGCTTCTCCGGAACTCTCGGGCCAATTCAGGAGCGCCGCGCCGTTCGTTTTCTGGCCGACGTCTACGACCATTACCCCCTCCCTCCTCCTTCCATCCCCCACCGTCTTAGTCCATGTGGTCTGCCATACCCCGCCCCCATCTGCAGACCTACCCAAACTGACCGTCGGTAGATCGAGTAAATCATGTTCCCATTCTTTCAGGTCTGGTTGGTCAGCTTCTGGCTCGGGATGAAGCTACATCTCTGGCTCGGCTGGCTTGTGGTGACAGCCGTGTCGGTGTCTGCGGTACACAGTGGGCACTCTTTTCCGCCCTCCCGCTCCGACCTGACCTTTGACCTGGCCTTTGACCGGTCAGGTCGGCCGCTACGAAGACAGGGCCGAGATGCCAACAGCAATTTGGCGTTTCTTGGATTTATAATGGCGCTACTGGATACGATTATTAATATTGTTTCAATCATTAATGACAATAATAACAACAACAATAACAATAACAACAACGACAACAACAATGACAACAATCTCAACAGTGTGGACGTCAACAGTATGTAAGTGCTCATAGTTGCGATTTATTTCCCTTTCGCTCATCATTTCCCATCACTCGTCAGGCAAAAGCCCCCTGAATTATCGCATTGAAGTCGTTCAGCGATCTAGTAACAAGAAAATGATAATAAATCCGTCATCCTGACAGCCATATCTCAGTTGAAGCCCGATCGTGTTTGATTCCCGTTTTCTGTGTCCTCAGGAACATGAACGACAACATGGTGATGGGTAAGCGGTCGTCCTGGGGCTGGCTGGACGCCCTGACGGCGGGTCCGGTGGGCACCCTGTGGGGTCTGGTCAAGAGCTTGGCCAGTCGCCACCCGGGCTGCATCGCTCGGGTGGTCTGCGAGACTCACCGGATGACCGAGAACCACACGGGAATGGCCTACCTCGTCACGACGTTCCTCAGGTAGCACGCGCACTACTGCCAACTGTGGAATGTGCCAATCAGCCGGTGGCATGTGATGATCAAATCAATGTTATCAGCTAGTCACACCATACTGAGTGGTCAGTACGGCGCATGCAGGTTAGATATTTATTGGTGCCCTGTCTTATTTGGTTATTTGTTGTTACTCCGGATTGATAGCCACTGGGTTCTGGCTTCTTTGTAATCGGTGAGCTAGTGAAGCGAATCAACCAGCTGCAAATTAAAACACCATTTTCTCGTAGACTCATTCTGAACGAGCTTACGATAACTCTGAGCGATAAACAAGCTAAATCGGGGCTGCCGAGATTGAAGTTTCCCTCGGAATTGATTTAGCAGCCTTTCAAATGCAAATTGTTGTGTATGCCTGACAGGGTATTGGCTCCGATTTCCGACAGTTCGGCGTCCAGTTTCCTGCTGGCCGAGGCTTTTCAGCGTCAGATCGGCCTGGGGGAGCTGACCGAGGCTGCCCGGGTCGGGAGGCAGAGCCACAACTGCTACCCGCTGCAGTGTCAGCTGTTCTGACCGAGTCGCGGGCCACAACTGCTACTCGCTGCAGTGCCGGCTGTTCTGACCGCGCGGTGTGCCGCTTGCCTGGACAAAGATGAGTGTACTTACACAAATATCAGATGTAGGCGGTATGCTTGAAATGAATGAATAATCATACAGATGTGATTAGAGTACGTTGGGATACCTATAGGCAATTAAGTGCAATATCACTTCTTAATTGTGGGCATTATAATGTGTTTACGATTGTTTATGTTTGTTATATGATTTGAATCAGCGGTGGAAGCAAAATATAGGTACGAAGCAAGATCACCCAACAATGGATCTTTGTCATTTTCATACTTAGTTACCAAAACATGATACAATGGAGAACTTGAGAAATTATGAACATTGATAAACACGATGCACGCGTAAAAAAACACTTGCAATGACGGATCTCAGCAGGGATGATGGATAACCACCACGATACCGCTACTTCTTCCCCCTGTCATGGTTGGGTGTCCCTTCCTGCATCCTTACCGCGAGCATCGCCGGCCGCCGCGCTCGTGTCGTGAGCCGAGTGTAAGCACCGGTCCCGCCCCGCGGCCCGCGTCTCCAGCGCTGTGACACCGACCGTTACACATCCACTCAGCGTCGGAGACCGGCAGAGGAGCCAGAGGGATGGCGGCGCGGTGGCGGCTCGCTGGTGCTCTCTGGCTGCTGGTGCTGGTGACCGCGGCCGCCGGGTCAGAGGTCAGGTCAGAGGTCATCCAGGACCCGGTGGCGGCTCGCGGCGGCTCCTCCAGCTGTCCGTCCTCTGGCAGCAGCTTCTCAACGTTCGGCTTCCTCAGCTTCCTGCTCATCTGCTTCAACACCGTCATCAACGTCGTCAACAACATCAACAACAATAACAACAACAATAACAATAATAACAATAACAACAACAATAATAACAACAATAACAACAACAACCTGGTGAACGGAGGCGACGGCGGCGGTGGCGGCGGAGGCGGCGGCGGAGGTGGTGGTAGAAGCCTTGGAAGAAGCCTCGGCGGGAACGGCGTCAGAGGCGAGGACCTGCTGAACATCTCCAGCTACCTGGAGCGCTCTGCGCTGACCTCGTGCGACTGCTCCCAGCCGGCCAGCACGGTCAGCAGCCAGATGTCGCAGTGGCTGCTGGACGTGTTCACTGCCTATCCGGCCTGTGTGCCTCGCACCGTGTGTGAGGTGGCCCGCCTGCTACCTGCGGCACTGCGTCGGACCGCTGCCAGGTAAATTTGTTAATTGAATGCTCTAGGTCATTGGTTGAAGAATGCTAACTCTATATTTTTCTTTTCTTTTTTGTCCTCCCGGCAAGCCATGAGGCTATAGCCGGGGGAGGGGGAAAGTTACTAGCTGGCAAGTGGCCAGGTCTTCCGTTTACGTTACGTTAATGCCGGCTATTTAATTCCGGCCCCTATCTTCCTTGTTCTTAATGTTACGCTTCTAAGACACGTCTTACGCTTTTTAGAACATTTTGCTGCATCACGATATCTCTCGAGTAGTTTTAGTTATTTGTTCGGCATGAAGTTTACTGTCAATTCAGAGCTTATGAGCTATAAGCAGCTCGCGCAATGCTATTCATAATTACCTAAGAAGTTTGTTTTCCTATAAACCTTAGGCATTATCTCCAAATAAAACACTACTTTGTGGTGTTGCGCTCACGATATTTACGTTAGACATTTATGTTGCGTTCATTTGATAGCATGCCCTCAGTAAAACATTCCATTCCTGACTGCAATTTACTTATTTTATTTTATTTTCAGGGCTCTCGGCCGATGGATCGACCTTTCACTGACGGAGGACAGCAGCTGCTTTAGCCAACATGCAGAGTGTCCTCTCTTCGACGCGGTGCTATGATAGTTTTCATTTTCTAGGAAATACTAACAGCTCGTCATTCAACTGCAATTAGTGCGCTTAATGATGAGTTGTGCTCTTAGTATGCTAGTTACGATCAAATACATAGGGGCATACCTGAGCTCAGAAAAATGAGACCGAGCTCAGAGACTGACGTGGAGCATGTACCATGCCTGATGGGCATAAATGTAGCCCTGCCCTTTGTTTTACTATGATTGTGTTGAAATGCATTATGTGTGTTACCGAATAAATTGTATGTGATATAAGATCTTTTTCTGTTGTGACAGCACCTTGTGTCTCTGGCTTCCATAGCGTTTGTTACTATACATGGAAGGTAATGGTATGCATAAAGTCATCTCAAGGCCATCTCGTTCATGATCACGTCCAATTATATTAGTTTCTATCAATGTTACCATTCAGGAAATACGGCACCGCAAAGAGGGTTGCGGATGCAAATATATATTTCGAATATCTACTTTTTTACACTTGCATACTGTTCAATCGACGTGAAACTCGTACCGGTTTATTTATTTATTTATCCATCGCTATCCAACCATCTGACGCTTTAGACGCATTCAGAGCAACATGACCACTTTGTCACTTGTCAAATGCGTCTGTGATAAGCCTCGACGCTCTGCAAACAGCACATTACGGGAGTGTCTCTGACGACGACGCATTTACCATCGTTACAAAATTGTCGCCCATTACCGTGACGTTGTTACCGCCTCAACACCGCCACGGTATGAGGGGTCACACACGGCAGAGCACGTGTTGATGCTAGTTAGTGGTCTCTGTCACCTCTAACATCCGCTTATGGAACATTAGGCGCTCGAACGCCATGGCATGAGACACCGTGTGTCTATGATGATTACGATTTATCTTCCTCAAAATGCATGTCATCAGTCATGTGTTGAATACTCGGTACCGTATACGGGAGGCACGCTTTGGCAGGCTGTGACGAGTAGTATCAGTGATATGACAGCAGGTCACGACTGGCAGAGCAGAGTGCGTGTCTGAGAGCCACATCAGACACCATTATTGAACAGGCCAGCGCAGACCGGGCGGGAGCTCATTCCGAGCTCCGCGGCAGAGCTCACTGAGCTAAGCTCCGCGGTTCCAAGGAGCCAGGAATAGGCGGCAGCACCGGCTCCCACGCTGCAACACAGCAGGGTACGGTTATTCAGCACACAGCGAAGATCAAAGAGACATCAAAGAGACTTGACAGGACACTCAAAGCAGGCAATGCACCTGTCAAGAACGCATTTGCTACCGCGACGTGACCATGGATCATTCGTATCGATGGCCTTATTTCAGCAGTTGGTCATCATCTAAAGAAAATGGATGTCCCGTAACTCGTTGGAATTCGTAAACTGCAAGTGTTTGATGAATAATCCTGCTTTGGACATCTTAAACCTCTCACTTGAATGAATATTGCAAGTTTTACATTTCAAAGTCGTTGCATTTAAAGGCATTCCTCTAATGAAGGCTGAAGCTCAGCGATAGTCAGCTATTTGCAGCGACAGAGGCCACGGGGTTAAGTGGCATCATGCAATTCGGGAGCGATCCCTTCTTGTTCGAAAAAATAAATATCTAACTCGCCCATTATAACGCGGGCACCTGCTCACCTGATGGCCAGTTGCGCGGCCCTGTTGAGTCCTGTTTGGTCAGCCGCGGCAGCTGCAGACCGGCACACAAACCAGCTGACACAGCTCTTCAGCAGCTGCACCAGAACACGTGACCGTGACGCCATCTGAGGTCGGCAGGCGCAGCGGAGCGATCTGCCGATCATGTTCTCGTTCATATTCATGTTATCCGCCTGGTTCGTGTTGAGGTTGTTATTATTGTTGTCGTTGTTGTTGTTATTGTTGTTGTTATTGTTGTTATTGTTGTTGACGTTGTTGATGAGGTTGATGACGACGTTGGCGATGACGACCATGAAGCTGAGGAAGCCGAACACGGACATGCCGCCGCCGGTGCCGGGGGTCGGCTCGGGGGCGGGGCAGGCCGTGGGGTCGGTCACCGCTCCAGTCGAGTCCATGGGCATGTAGACGTAGGAGCGGGCGATCCTCCCGGCGCCGGCGCCGGGGCCGGGACCGGGGACGGGGGTGGCCGGACGAATTGCTAGCTCCGAGTGTCCGCCTGAGATATACCCCGCTGCAGGCACACTATGGAAGGCATGCTTCGAGGAAATAATAGCCGTGATATTAGATTTCCAGCTCACACGGGAGTGTAAAGTTAGCTTGGTTTCCGGCGCTAAACCTAAATAACGATTGGGAATGGTGCTATGATTTTGGCCCGAGCTTAAACCGGTCCTCTGGGTATCTCCGGGCTGCCGGGCTGCTTCGAATAAGCAGCTTCGGCAGCTGACTGCCAGTAGCAGCGCAGTAACGACGGTCCATTTCATTGCTAACGCTGTGCAGCGTCCCCGGGGAGTCTGCGACGGCGGGGCGCGGCGGTCGTGCTATTCACGGCTGCCGGTCAGACGAGGCCGGGTCAATAGGTCAAGGGCTGGTCGACCGGGAACGGCAGCGCCGGGCGCTACTGTTGAGGCAGACTACCTCCGCTGCACACACAGACACCTCCGCAGACCCGGCTCCGGAAACTGTCGGCGGAGATCAATGTGCCGGCCACTCCCGGTCAGAGCCGGTGGTTTATGCCGTCGGCAGGACGGGCCGCTGACCAGATACGCTGATTGAGGAGTCGCGGCGGACGGCCTCACGGCGGGTGGTCGCCGATATATCCGGCAGCGGCACGCACGGCGGGCACGGCCACAGAGCCTCCGCAGCCAGCAGCCTGTCGACGAGACAAAACCCGCCGCGAAATAGCACTCAAATCGAATAACAATGTCGGGAAAACAGTGACGGGTGGTGAAATCTAAAGTGGCATAATCTAATGGCGTGAGTTAGAACTGCGATCACGTATTCAGGACACAGGAATTTTGTGCTGTCCTTCAGAGTTCCATTTTATAACGTAATCTAATAATACCAGCAAAAACGTGACGCCTTGTTGTATGCCCATCAACCAACATCCAAAATTTCAATTAGGTATAAAACAAAGCTTAAGTAAGTTCACTCCTGCATACGCATGTATGTATGTATGTAAATGTCTGTATGTATGTAAATGTATGTATGTATGTATTGACATCAAAAGCCTCCCAGATAAAGCGTGGCGATTACGGCTTGGCTATACATTCGGCACCTGTAGGTGCAGAATAGGTAACTATAGTTATACTTATATTTTGACCTTGAAACATAAGTTTTTATCAACGTTATGATTTTAGAATAGAACATTACGGGACAATCAAAGGACACACAGAAAATAAAGACAAGTGAAAATAAAAGGATGAATTTCAACTATCGGTGGCACAGTTTACGTCAGTGTAACTGACACTCACCTCAGGTAAAGCAGGAAAATTTCATCTAACGAGAGTCGCTTTTTGTCGGTGTTTCCAGCGGAAGATGAAATGAGCCTCATCAGTTGATCACGTGGCTTCAGATCATCTGTCCTGTGATGTCCTTTAATGAGACCCCGTGACCTGCGTTCCTGTGCTGCTGTTCTTCCTCCAGGCATCACCACTCCTCCTACACCAGCACCGCCCGCCTCCCCACCAACATTGTTGGAGTTGATCACGTTGTTGTTGTTATTATTGTTGTCGTTATTATTATTGTTGTTATTGTTGTTATTGTTATTGTTGTTGTTGTTGTTGACGAGGTTGACGATGATTTGTATGAGTAGCACGACGAGGCTGACGAAGTTGAGGGCGCTGATTGGTGAGGCAGTGGGACAGTTTTCCTCCTCCTCCTGGGCAGCTGCAGGGGCGTACACAGGGGTCGCTGCGGGGTAGGTCCCGTGGCCACCCCCGCTGAATAACAGGCGTGGTTGGAGGGACTCCGTGTCCCCCACCAGCCCCTCTAACCGGTCCACAGAGGGTGCCTCTGGTGCCGCCGACACAGAGATCAGGAGACCGCCCAGAAACCACGCTGTCAGCGTCAGTCGCATCCAGTCGTGTGCGGGCCCTCAGCCAGCCAGTCTGAAACGCAGATCGGATGCAAATTCAGCGCGCCGGATTAGTCGGCTGTGAATTACAAATGCCGGCGCGGAGAGCCACGGTCGCGATAAAGAGTGGGATTTGGTGCGGCTTCAGTTGGTCCTCAGTCGGCCGGGACACACACGGCGGGATGAAAACCGAGCCTCTGACTGCCATTCCCGCGCGGCACAACGCTGAAAAACGCCGAGATTCAGGTTGAGATTGACACACAGGCGACAGCGGAGGACGGAGGCAATTTGGGGAGCATAAATTACACGCTCTTTTTCTAAAAAGATATCTGAGGCCAGTTCTACTAACATAAAACTAGCCAGTTGCCGGTATTACTATCTTTATTTCTGGAAGTCTCCCTCAAGTTCAACCAATCATGCAACAAAAAAAAAAAAGACACTGAGGTGAACACATACCTATGAGTAAGGCTTGCTGATATATTTGTTCACACCGGTAGCTGTTTTCTTAAGCCCAGGCTCCACAGCGCGATTTTTCCGTGCGATTTTGCGATATTGCGATATCGCATCGCCAAAACGTTCAGTGCTCTGAACTTTTTTGCGACATTCGTGAGCGATATTGCGCAAGAAACATCCTGCAATATCGCTCACGCAATATCGTTCACGCAATATCGCACGCTCACGCAACATCGTTCACGCAATATCGCAAAAAAGTTCATAAGTCTGAACTTTTGCGATGTAATATCGCAAATCGCTAAGTCGCACGGACAAATCGCGTATAGTGGAGTCTGGGCTGCCTATACGCCTGGATGGCAAAATTAGCTAGGACGTCATTTATACGGCAAAAAAAAAAAAATCTGCAGCCGCTGATTTTTCTGTAGGTAAAATTGGACCGGTCTGTCAAAACGCATAGGACACTTCTATTACCTTGGTAAATTGCAAAAAAAGACTTCCAGATTACTTTCCGAACATTAGGTAAGTACTTATACCTACCTGTTAATTTGCTTTCTTAGACCGCAGCGCATCGCACGATAGATATTCAGTTCAAATCCCTATTGGCATTTATGCCTAATGAGACTATTTAGCAGCGTTTGTTTGAAGCATAAAAGCAAACTATTCTTTGTACGTTTCATTTTCAATCACGAAACGGTCGTTACAATTAGCAATCACAACATACTTATTGACAAAATATATGTATTCACTTTAGCACGATGTATTGTGTAGACTAATGGAAATGGGGTGGCCATAATCAACGCAACGCTTCTCTGGTTTCTATTGAATGCAACGTTAAAGTGAAATAATGCAATGAATTTATTCGAAATGCATACCACAAACCGAATGGCAGCTAGCTACATCTTTATTGTCGATATATTTCGCAGCTGATCCCTTTGAATGGTTTTCTATTTCAATGTTTGAAATAAAGGGGTTTTGCAGAGAAATCAAATCATACCAAGAAGCTATATGCATAATCCTGCCGATAGAGCACCAAGCTGGATGCGAAAATAAGGCATGAATGGATTCCAGCCGTTCTTCTGAGTCGTACAGTACGAGTTTCAGGCAAAATCTCAAACAGATTAATGTAGCAGCGCTGCTGCAGTTGACAAAATTGTTATGCAATATTTGTACAGAATAGGTACGCTGTACTATATAGCAAGGATACCTTATAGGCAGGTGGTTTGACAACCTGATAGCTGATTAGTGAACAGAACTCAAAGATGCAAGCCTGCAGTGGCCACCACGGGCCCAAGCCGGACAAGGAAGTCGATGGAAGCCTTGTGACCCAAGCTATTCCTGAGGCCATTTTCGTATCCTATATTCAACAGAACCGTCGGACAGAATCGCTCCACGAACGAACGACTGGCCCGTGCGATGTTTATTGAATTCTGGAAGACCGACACAAAAGCCACATCGACAGATGGCGACTTATTCACTGAAACATGGCCCATCAATCTCACACACAATAAGCACAAGGACAGAAGCCATCGCTCCGCTCGAAATTTAAATACGCCGCGCATGGCTGGCCGACATTTGTGTGGTTCAAATCGTCAGAGGGGCATCGCCACACAACTCAAGAACCGCGGCCATCGTTGATGGCTCCCAATCCCACGGTTGCATTTTGTCATTTGAGTGCACGACTGTGTACAACAGTTCGTCCATTACAGTTCCCGCTCCGCATATCGACAGCCGAGTCCATTTATCATAAGCATCGCTATCTTTATTATGTACTTGCCTTCATTTTGCTTTACATCAAGGGTGACAAGAGCCCAAGCCAAAGCCAGGTAGGAGCAGCTGTTGACCGTTGACGAGCGTTTAATTCAGGTTCTAAAACAGCCACTCAATATTGGTTCTAAAACAACATTGGTTCTAATTCAGGCTCTAAAACAGTCACTCAATATTGAAAGGAATTGTTACACCCAATTCAGCCATCACCAAGGCCCAATGACTCATCACCAATTTGTCCATGAGTCTCATCCGTCTCTGCACGAGCACCTTGGCAATGTTGGCCCTCAGCAGTGCGCACCGCTGGCACCGGGGGCTAGTTTCCGATGTCATCCTTCCAATTCCTCCCATTCCCATCACCAAATTTTCATTCAGATTGTCATTTACTGACAGATTGTTGTTGTCATTGTTGTTGTTATCGTTGTTGTTGTTATTGTTGTTGTTATTGTTATTGTTGTTATTGTTGTTGATGACGTTGATGACCAGCTGGCTGGTGAGGACGATGAAGCCCAGAAAGTTGAAGATGGCGTGTTCATCTTTGGTGCTCGGACAGGGCGCAGGGGCGGACGCCACGGCCGGGATGGCGTAGCCTCCGCCGTAGCTGCCGTAGCTGCTCTGCCCTCCGAAAAAGAGGCGTGGTGCAACGGCCATTGCCACCGGTTCAGCAATCGAGCCTCTTTCTTAAAAGTCGTACAAAAGAGTACAACCCGACAAGCCCTAGCAGAGGGCAGGAACGGAGGAGAAGCTGAGATGCAGGCGAAGAACTCTGGAAACTATGTTGTCTGTCTTCTTGCCTCGTCCCAAGCCCAGTCTCTCGTTCTTGGCTAGGAGCGAGTGAAGCAGGACTGAGAAGATGTAAAGCAACGTTGAACAGCGAGCTCTGTTCGGATGAAACTGTCGTCCTCCTACGTTGTTCATATTCATATTCTCAATCATCACTGCAAGTGCGTTCAAGTTGTTGTTATTGTTATTGTTATTATTATTATTGTTGTTGTTATTGTTGTTGTTGTTGTTGCTGATGACGTTGATGATGATCTGGACGGTCAGGACGCAGAAGCTCATGAAGCCGAGGGTGTTGAAGTCGTCACTGGCGCACCGGGCCGTGGCTTCACTCTTCAGGGCACTAGTGACCTCCCGCGTCATTCTGAGCTAGGCAGCTGCCGCCATGCCGTAAGTCGTTCGGCGAAATAGCGCCTGAAGTTCCGTGAGATGATCTGCGAACCAGGAGAACGGATCTGCATCAGAGCGATGGCTTCCGCTGGGAAGTGCTTGGAAGAAATGTGTCTTTCGGAAGAGACGACATGCTTAGTTAATCTTGGAGATTGGCTTCTTTCGTCACAACTATCCGTTTACCTAACACGTTGTGGAATAGTTAATGTGCACCACATCTTCCCCCAACACTCACAGCATCCATCCATCTTTCGCCACCTCTCAGTAACGCTCATGCGGCCGGTATTAGTGAGTGTCCCACCTTCCGGTAACACTCTGGGGACGTTATCTTTCTGACGCACGGAACTCCTCTGACGCGCGCCTAGGGACCTGCAGGGAGCTCTGATCGACCAGTGGACCAGCGCGGATCGATCGGCTGTTCTTCCGGTGGCCCACACCCGCCCGTCTACCCAATATCCGGCCGCCAGAGAACGTTAGCCGATACCATCGCACGGCACTTCCGGTCGGGGAGGGGATTTTTCAGTTCATTGTTTTTGGGTTATTTTAAGTGTCTTTTGAGCTTGAAGACCTACGAAAAGAATACTCCTAGCATCAAGGAAAATAAAACCAATAAATCAAAGATTGACAGTGATCATAGATATGGTGATCATATCATGAATATCATGATTAAGAATAAGTAGCAAAATACGACTACATCATTCAATGTTTTTGACATTGCAATTCGCCGCTCTTCGTTGAAATGAGGACAGTGATCAAGTTACAGTAACCGCAAAAAGAAACAGAAACATAAGGTGCAGTTCTCACAGTTCTCAAATTTAGCAGAATGGATCGTTCCCAAAACGACCAAGTTCGTCGCAAGTGCTCGGCGTCGGTGATCTTTGACGTCTGCTATCAAAGCTGCTTACTGCAGCAAAGGCTGCCTTTCGGGGAATACCCGAGACACAAGATGTTGTGTAGTACACTCTCTGTTTTTCTTTCGTTGCTTTTAGGTTGAAGATGCTTTACCTGGATTATAAGGATGGTGTAGCTGGAGCATGCACCACATGATTCATGAGTAGCAAAAACTCTGTGATGACTGTGCGCAGCCTGATCTTATCCCTACTGACGTATACACTTCGTCAAAATGTGAATAATGTGAAAGATTTCATCATACCGATCGAATTATTGTCGTCGTCTTTGGTAATTCTTGCATGTAAAGTAGCTGAACAAGTAAAGAATGATCTGCTTCTTATTATCTTTATCTTGTGACACTGAAATATTTTGGAGTGAATTGCGAATCAAAATGTGAGTGACTTGGTTTGGAGGTTCTGACAAAGTGACATTTGACTTTTACACAAGTTTAATTGTTTTTTTCTTCAATTTGTAGGTTTAAGCAAAGTCCATGCTTGCTAGATTGTCCGATGAGAGTTGAAAAGATACGGTAGTTTCGAATATGTCTACCATTGACAGGTTCATTGTAAACTTGGAGTCATCGAACTTGCAAACATAGGTTCATCAAACTTCGCTAATTGTGTGGAAGATAACCTTTAAAACTTATAAAGTAAAAACACTCCTTACGCTTTGCCCTTATCTAAAGCTCAATTAGGGATGAACAGAATTGTGTGCACCTACCAGGAACAGATAAGGCACACGAGCAGGCGTTTTCTCTTCAAGAAACTAATACTGAAGATCAAATACTTCTAAATTGAGGCAAGAGTGTAATGATAAGCAATAATGACACAATCAAAAGCAATTATATGAGACTTAATATAAGATGTTCATACTCTTCCTATGCCTAGCGGCCAATCACTGATCGGCCCACCGTCTCACCTGTGTCGGATGTGTCGCTATCGGCCGACTTGCCTGCACAGCCGCCGCTGTGCCGGCTCCCCAGAGAGTGCGGTATAGCAGAGCGGGGCAAGGGCCTGTCCCGAGTCGCTCCGGTAACCACGCTTGACGCTACCGCTCCTCCTAGCGCTGCATTACAGTGTTACTCACCGACAGCTATTTTAATTTTAGGTGACTTCAATGCAGGGAACATTTACCTAAACCGAGACAGACAGTACAAGCATAGCGGTTTATCTCCTTTTGACCATCAACTTTACCGTACTGCCGAAACTCTTGACCTCGAACAGATCATCCACCAACCTACCAGAATCACCGAAAACACACAGAATATTAGAGATTTGATTTTTACTAGTGACTCACAAATAATAGCTAGTAGTGGAACCATGTCACCATTTTCAAACCTTGACCATTTCCCCGTAATCGCATCCATCAAAATATCGTGCCCATCAAACACAAGCAATGACACACGCAGGCAAATATGGGACTATTCGAACCTCGACTCAGAACTTTTAACACGATTATTGCTTGACGTTGATTGGGAAGACATTTTAGATCACGACGTAAATGAGGCGACTGAAAGATTCATTAATGTTTTACTAGATGCCGGTGAGAAAGCTATTCCTCGAAAGACCATTTACATCAAACCAGGTAAAAAACCTTGGCTGTCAACTGAACTTAACAAAAGCATAAGAAAACGCGACAGACTTTTCAAACTAGCAAAACGATCAAACACTAACTACGACTGGAATCGCTGGAAATACCAAAGGAACGTAGTGACGTCATTAAATAGGGAATTAAAGAGACAACATATAGAGAAACAGGTCCGTAAGCTTTTAACTCATAGACGAGACCCTTACAAATATCACCAGACGTTACGCGAAATAACAGGACGCAGAAAGACTGATACCATCCCACCATTTGAAGGAAAAGACGGAGAAATACTTACTGACAATTACACAAAGGCTACCCTTCTAAACGAATTTTTCGCCGGACAAACCAAAACTGACAAAAGTGGGACACTCTTACAGACAGCTACTCGAAGAACAGACACTTCGCCGGTACCCACTCTGGACAAAATTACCACATCTGAAAGAGAAGTTCTGCAAATTCTAAATTCCCTAGACGCCAACAAATCTACCGGCCCAGACAACATCCCTGTGAAACTTTTAAAATTAACTGCCATCTTAATTGCATCCCCTTTGTCGAAACTATTCAACAAATCACTAGCGCTAGGCATTTACCCTTCCAAATTCAAAGAGGCCAACATCAAACCAATATTTAAAAACAAAGGCTCCCCATCTGAGCCCACAAACTACCGCCCCATAAGTCTTCTTTCTTCGTTGTCCAAAGTTTTTGAAAAAATAGTCCACAAACACATATATGCACATCTTTCCCACCATAACCTCTTGACAGATAAACAGAGTGGGTATCGGCGAGGCCATAGCGCAGAACAACAATTATTATACTTGACTCATAATTTATACAAAGCATTGGACTCAGAAAGCGATTTTACTGCTATTTACCTGGACATTTCAAAATACTTTGACAAAATTTGGCACGAGGGACTTTTGTACAAATGTAGACATGAATTTGGCATCACTGACTCACTTTACAACTGGCTAAAATCTTACTTGTCTGATAGACGACAGCGAGTTCAGATCGGCGATACCTTTTCAAAAACAGAAATTATCAACGCCGGATGCCCACAGGGTTCGGTTTTGGGTCCTCTTCTAGCCCTCATTTACCTCGATAACCTCTCTACTAGAACACAAAACGACATTTTATTTTTCGCAGACGACGTATCGCTTTATGCATCCCATACAAAACAAAATTTGAACACAACACAGACGTCATTACAAAATGATCTCAATGAAATACAAAAATACGGTAAAGAATGGGCGATTACTTTTAACGTAAGCAAAACAATACAACAGACATTTTCACGCATCCCACAAAACACACCACCTGCTCTTACATTTGGGGACGACATAATACCCATTCACGAAAACCACGCTCATCTGGGAATGACATTTTCAAAGGACTTGCGGTTTCATCAGCACATTAACGAAATTTGCAAAAAGGTAAACAGAACCATGAGCCCATTGTACTCCATTGCTCCATACATCCCCCGAGAAATTTTAGATCAAATTTACAAAACATACACGAGACCACATTTTGACTTTTACGACACAGTTTATGACGGACATATTACGCTCCAGGACACACAGAGACTTGAAGTTTTACAAAACAGAGCGGCTCGGCTTGTGACTGGCACTTTATTTAGAACACCAACTGACAAATTGTTAAAAGACCTAGGATGGAACAAGTTAAAAACAAGAAGAGAGATGCACAAAATAACACTATATCATGCACTCAATAGCCACATGCAAAAAACTCCCAACTACATCAAATCAATCATACCGGACACCCGCTCACAAAGAACAGGAAGGACCCTGCGAAATCACAGGAACCATACACTCCAACCACATCGCACCACATCCTATCAGTCATCGTTTTTCCTATCAACTGCCAAACTATGGAACCACCTCCCAGAATCATTAAGATCCTTGCCCCATACATCCTTCAAAAAAGAAATTAACCAGCGACTAGGGATGCCCAAACCCCCAGACTACTACAAAATTGGCTCAAAAACTGGAAATATTCTTCATACCCGACTAAGAACTGAAATGTCTTGTCTAAATTCTCATCGTTTTCAAATCAACAAAGCAGATTCGCCTGAATGTTCTTGCGGCCACTTCAAGGAAGATGTCCGCCACTACGTAATATTCTGTCGAAATTATGATGCCCAAAGGAAAACACTATTTGATAACGCTTCTCGTATACTGGGAGAAAATTTTGCAAATTACTCACCCGACCAAAAATTGAACATTCTTATCCACGGAGATCGCTTGAGTGGCGAGGGCAGTCGAGAAATGGCTTACGCCTTTCAAAAGTTTTTGACAAAAACAAATAGATTTTCGTAGTAACAAATAAATTCATTCAAAGTTTTTAAAATTTGCAATCCCGAGAGCTGAGCGGCTGATGGAACACCAAAATTTACCGCTCATGAGCGACTGGTCAGCGGCGGCGGCGGTTGTTTCACATGTTTTATTTTTGTTCCAGAGTGGTGCCTCGAGTTAAGCGATTGCGCTTTTGCACCACTCTGCTATCACTTTTATGTTGCTACATTGTGCCATATGTTTCATTGATCATGCTTTATTTCTCGTGTATCTTTTGTTCCTTAATAAACGTTTTGTGTGTGTGTGTGTGTGTGTGTGTGCACTGGTCGGGACGGGTGAACAACAGGATGGGGTCATGTCGGCAACAAGGTCAGGACAGGTCATCACATAAGACCAGGCCAGGTCGAAGGGTCAGTACACGTCGACAACAGGGTCAGGTCAATCGGCATCATTTAAAGTTATCGTCAAGTTGGGTGTCATAAATCATCACCAGTCACCAAATGTCACCCAGTTTCCAAAATTATTTTATTGCTGATCCTTGGCGGCAAGACATATCAGTTTCTCACGTCGTCATCCCCATCACCCGCCGGTGAGACACAGTGCGCAGTCACGTGATCAGCTCCCGCTAGACCAATCTGCATCACACGTCTGTACCGTTGTACTGGCGGTGGTGGCACCCCGGCGCCCGCCCCTCGGTGGTGGTGTACGGCGCTCGTGAGCAGCGGTAGCGGCGGTTTGGTGTCACCTTCCCGCCATCTGGAAATGGCGCAGGCTCCGTCGACCCGTCGGGTGTCTGTTTTGATCGGACCCCACAAGTGGTGCCACTGATTAGTCAGGTGAGTGACATCGGGGGAATTATGTCCAGGATTATGGGTAATGGAGCATTTCCTGTAGCTCGCGTTGATTGGAGATGCTGCCTATAGTGGGATCTCATTGCATAGCGTCGATGTTTTAGGTTTTGCTTACATAGAAACCTGGCGGAAAAAGACGGAGTCTCTGATTTGTTAGCATCGCGACCAAAAGCAGCGCGAGAGGTTATGTAAGTTGTCTGCTATTGATGTTATATAATGCACTTTGAGCAATAACTAATGCTTTGAAATGCCTACAGATAGGTTCAGCTAAGCGTGAGGCTGAGCTGTTGTAGAACATTCAGAAACCTGCTCTGATTTCTTTTTGGTTAATTGTTAACGTATTGTGAACCTGGTACAAATATTTTCTGGAATTCTATCATCCATTACATCATCTATTCAAAATAATAATGAAATAATGTGGTTCCAGCGCCTGTCACCAGTCAGCCACTCGACATTACCATTCCGAGCAGACGCCGGTGTGCCATTTCGGCTCCTGTCGCCTCGGCCGCTGACAGCCGGGGTGCCATTCCGGCCGCCATCTCACGCCTGCGGTGCGCCCGTTTCAGCCATGGATCCTGCGCGGCGTCTGGAGTGGCACGGTCTGTCGCTGTCCCACCGGCATCTGGCGCGCTCCGCAGCCTGTGGGGACAGCTCGCTGGGCATCTTTTCGTTCCTGTTGTTCCTCGTCTACCTGCTGAGCGTGATCAACAACCTCATCAACCCGCTGAGTCTGAGCCTCAGCGGGCAGCTGCTCGGCGTCCTGGTGCCGGCCACTCCTGTCAACAACAATAATAGCAACAACAACAATAACAACAATAATAACAATAACAACAATAACAACAACAACAATAATAACAATAATAATAACCGCCGCCGTCGGAGAGCGTTTCGAATATGGGGAGTCCCGCGGCGGGTCAGAAAAGTCCGACGGGGACGGCAGAGAGGACGGGGAGCTGGAGCCGCAGCTCCAGAGAGATTGTTGTCGTGTCAGTCCGGAGAGCCGCGACATCAGCGCACGCGCCGGCAGCCCAGGTCCAGGTGGACCGCAGACCTGCTGCTGGACGCGTTGCGTCTGGCTGAACACGTCGGAGCGATGACAATGGCCTTATAACAGCACGTGACAGCGCCCATTCGCTTGTAAATAAATATTGTTTCATGTGAAAATGTGCTGCTAGTTTGCTAGTTACGGGTGATATATGGAATGTGGCTGATATATGATATTTGATTTCCGTATTCAGAGCCCTGTGCGGTGCTTATTTTCTGTATTTAGGAGTCTGAATGTCGAATACATCGTTTTGTCGTACTATGTGATGTAAATGTTTGTCGATTGCTGCAAATAATTCAGCATTGCAGCATCGTGATTGGAGGCTAATTCCTTCCAATAAAGCCATATATGTAGGCTACTGGAAACAGATTCTAGGACCTTCTTAGCCATCATCGATGATGTGTGGCACGTAATTAAAGAGACTGTACTGAATGCTGTCGTCTTGTCTTGCTGTTTTCCCGCCTGCTGGGAGGGCTGAGAATGTTATAGGGGTCGAGACAAAACATTAACTGCCTTACTCTTATTAGAACATTATTGCGCTACGGTTTTAAAGACCGAAACCCTATTTTTAATTCAATTACCCGTAGATAAACGAAACCAGGGGCTTCCTGCTATCTCCTCTCTCTCTCTCTCTCTCTCTCTCTCTCTCTCTCTCTCTCTCTCTCTCTCTCTCTCTCTCTCTCTCTCTCTCTCTCTCTCTCTCTCTCTCTCTCTCTCTCTCTCTCTTCTTTCTCTTCCTCCCATCTCTGTTTTATTCTTTCGCACTTACCGAAATGAAACAATATTGAAGCAAGAAAACAAATAATATATGTAATCAATCTTCCCTCACATAAACTGCTAGAAAACAGCTATTTCATAACCCTGCCCGGGCTGCCGATGAACTTTTTTCAACAGTCATAAATAACAGTCATAAATAACAGTCATAAATAGGTAAGTATATGAATGATGCAATGAGGTGGGCAGCTATGAAGGCTGAAGCCAAAAACGAAGTCCTAGTTCAACAACATTTATTAATCAGATAATTGATGCAAAACTACTCAAGGGGCGATATGCCTACATCGATCTGTCTGGCGTTCTACATACCGTTATTCAACGCTATTCAACACAATGAGCTACTCAAAGTCAGCTGCCCATGAGCGTCCACATCGGCTAACCGCATCAAGTGTTTCACAAATGATATGATATAGCTCATTACAATGTTACACTTCAGCACCCTATAAGACATGATAAATTGTCACTATGAACCCGTAGGAAAGCTCGGAAACGTTCCTCAGTTGCAGTGTCGCGTGTTGCAGGTATCGTAGCCTGTTGCTCTGGAGTCGTCGTTCTTCAGATGATCATAGACCACACTGAAAGACATAACAGCTTGTCATGTAAATCCTTGAACATCATCCTTCCATAAAAATAATGATAGTTAAGCAGACAAAGCTGTACTTACCTAAAATTGAGATAAAAGCAAAATACAAATCTAAGGTCAATTCTAATTCAAGTGTTTTACGTACTCACTCATTACTTAGCGTCGATGCGTCCGCCCACGGCCCAGTCTCACCTTAGCATGAACCCTGTGACGTAGTCGGCGTCGCTCCTGCTCTGGGTGTGCTCCCTCAGTGAACACAGCCGAGTTTCCATGCACCTTTGTCCGCTGGTGTCGGCGTGTCTCTTCAACCATGCCAGCTGGCGAAACCAGCAGACTACTGCCGTGCTCCTGTGGTGTCTCTCCATGTGTGCGGGAATCTCTTCGGGCGTATCTCCATTCGTCTCTTCAGTTGTCTCTCCAGGTGTCCCGAGCTGTTCCTCGAAGTCGACAGGGGCCCAGTGGGTCGGGCCATCAGTCCTGGTGATGTCATGAGTACGGACAAAGGCAATGTTGTTTTGTTGGTTGAGAGAAGTAGTGTGGTCCGCGAATTGATGTGGTTTTAGTTCATCCGCTGTAGTGAATGTAAGTTTGACGATGTTGTCCTCAGAAGTCTGGAGCTTTCCGTGATTTTCGTGATCACTGTGATCACAAGGCTGCGTCATCACATGGTCATTTTCTGGAATCTTGCCATCACCTGACAGTGAATCGATCTGCTCGGAAGAGCTGAGCTCCTTTCCCACAAAATGAGTCATTTGTTCTTTTGAGCCCCGATAAACATCAATTGGAAGCTCAATCGTTTCCACCATTCGCTTTCTTCTAGCTCCGTTATTGTTATTGTTATTGTTGTTATTGTTATTATTATTGTTGTTGTTATTGTTGTTATTGTTGTTGTTATTGTTGTTATTGTTGTTGGTGTTGCCTCCAGTAGCCGTATTCGTGATGTTTATGTTCACCATCAGGTCAAACATGAGGTCCAGCATGAGATCGAGCGAGAGCGGGATCAGGGCGAAGAAGGCGAAGATGCCCGTATTGCTGCTGCCACACATCTCCACAGGCTTGTAGGTGGGCGCCGGCGCCTTCATCGCCATCGGCGCAGGAGCGGAAGAGTACATCGGCGGCGGCGGCGGCGGCGGCGCCGGAGCGCTGTAGGAGTTCATCACGTCCATCATCTGCATCACGGCCTTCATCGGCATCATGGGCATGTAGGACGGAGCGGGGGCCGGCGCTGGCTCGGGCATCGGTCGGTACGAGGACATCGCTGCGGGAGACGGCATCGGCACCGGAGCGTATTGCGCCATGGGAGAGGGCATTTGTGCGTAGGACGACATTGGTGAAGGCATTTGAGCGTAGGCTGACATGGAAGCTGGGATCTGAGAATAAGAGAGCATAGATGGGGGCATATGAGGTCGGGTCTGGGGAGATGGAGCCGCAGCTGGCTTTGGAGAGCTTTTTGTATCATATGGTGATGGGAGGCTGGATGATTTCATGGGAGCGGCGTATGGTGCGGGCTTTTCTCCAGCCGCTACCACAGGAGGAAGGACGTACGACATCCGTAGAGAGGAGGGGAGGGGAGGGCGGTGGGCAGCGCCCTGTCCGTGGTACGGCGAGTGGTACACCCGTCTATGTGCGGGGTACAGGGACCGCTCCGTCACGTGATGGTGGTACACCCGTCTCTGGCCGGGGTACAGAGGCCGCTCCGTCCTCAGACTGTCCTCTGAGAGCCGCAGACCGCGTGACTCCAGGTCCGGCAGGTGCAGAGGACGGCGTATGGCGTCACAGCGCGCCACCTTGAGCAGAGCGCAGGTCACCGCGAGCAGCCGGACCCAGTGCCCCGACTGGAGCGCTCCGAGAACAGCCCGCATCGCTGGGCGCTTGATGATCAGTCTGGCGGAGACCTGCCGCCCGGAGCTGCTAAACACGGCTCCCAGATACGGCTGTAGCCGGAAAAGTCTCCGCGGATTTGCGCTGAGCTCATGACCGTCTCGTCACACAAAGTCACCGGATATTTGCATTATTCTGTAGAAGTTCGGCGGGTTCAGGTGACATCCAGTGCAGGCTGGTGCCGCTACAAATGCTGGCTATCAGGCACACGACACTTTCTGTTTATCTCAGCGAATTCTCCGAAAGGTCTTCAATTCGATAAACTGCAAGCAAAAGCTGTTAATCCGAATGACCAATTATATCAGTGACGCTTTTATCTCTTATGCATTCCTTGTGATTTGTTTCTGACAGCAAGGCCTAATGTCTTCCTCGAAAAAAACTGATAGTCACTCTACCGTCAACAAAATCTTCTGAGTTTACTGGAAAACTGCACACCTTATCAACATTCTGAGGGTCTTGGACTCTTGATCCGCAATCAAATATGCTAATGGAACCGTGTTCGGTCACGCCTCACTTGTAATATCCTTGCTGCACGATCGGGCACTGGCACAAACCCTGCCTCCGACTCCGCTGGCTTGACCTCGGTGACCTCCAGTCTAAGTGAGCTCCTCTCCTCTGACGACGCGGTGTGACTGTGGACCTGTCATCCAGTCAGAGCGGCAGCGAGATGCCACCCTCATAACCCACATTCAGCCAGTCGAGTCCGCCGCGGGCGGTTACAGAGGCTCGCCGGGCGGCAGCTGCGGGCGAACCCCGCTCGAGCGAGCACGGGCGAGTGCAGTTCGTTTGCGCCGCCCCTTGCATTCTCAGAGCTGCGACTGATGCGTTCCTGCCCGACCTGAAGCCGCCTCTGTGCCCGGGGTGGCTCGTGTCGTCTCACGCAGTTCACTTGACTCCGCTGCTCTGGACGCCGACGATGGTTTCAGTTGCACTTCCAGCAAAAGGTAAGTGATCTTTTGCATTGCATTGCGTGCATGTGTGCAAATTTGAAACGTTATCAGGTAATTTCATGAAAGTATTGGTCGCCCAATACTTAATTACTCGATTATAAGGTCACCTGTCTCTAGAATCGTATAATTTTCTAGGGAATCAGTGAGACAAAGGCTATAACATGGCAAGTTTATGGGCATACGATAGACGATTTGTATTGGTATCTTATTCAAATACCTTCGCTATTACTTTGATGTGAAATATCGCTATACTGCATTTACTGCAGAACAGGTACTACTAGTATAATAGCCACCGGACATTGCAATAACACTTTAAAATAAAAAATACGGCATCAACGGCCAATATGCCTACATAACCCTAACGAAAAAAAAAAAGAAACGCTATGCAACTAATCACCATAAACTTTTCTAACGCTAGTCTCTGCACCTCTAACTTATCAGTGCATCGCTACTCAAATTAAGTGTTTTTACCACCTTGCAAGTTTTCCTCCCTCTCCCAGTTTTGGCCAAGGAACTGTGGTAAATTACGCACGAATAAAGTGGCCAGTAGTCCGTGCTCTCGGGGCATGGCGCCCTCCGCGGGGATAAAAGCCTTCCTAAACTCGCCGCCACTGCCGACAAGCGCGGCCCCACTCGAATACTAATGGATATTGCATGCTGTGGCTCGGCTCTAAACTGGATAACGAGCTGCTATTCCGGAGTCGTGTTGCCGTACCGATGTGTATTTAAGTGGGCTAAATCATTGTGATTAGCTTCGGGTAGGTCATTATATGTCAGCAGAATGTGGGCAGTAGTTTTCAGATATCAACACATGCAAATTGTAAGCTGATTCGGTTGCATTGCATTGATTCGTCCATATGCCGATTCGACAAATGCATATATAATCTCACAATATACTTGTGGCACTATTGCATTGCATGCACCGTTATTTCGTAGTAAGGAACATTAACAACTTAAGTTATTATCCAGATGTGGAGACGTGAAGATAAGTCACCTATATTTCTGACAGGATTGACGATGAAAGTGTGTAGTTTGCTCTGTGATGTCCAACACAACATGACCAAAAGAACGTTAGGTATCCCACCTATCCATATTTGACTGCTTACTTCACCATTTCCATAAATTTGATAAAGCAGGTATAACTAAATAAGGCGACTAACTGGCGCTGAAAACCTGCAGCTTACGAATCATTATTATGTTTCAGGCTGAAGGAAGCAGCTCTCGCCATGCTCCGTTCACGTGAAGCCCGCCACAAGGTGGTGTTGATACTCGCCCTCAAAGTCTCGGCCACCGTCAGCACGATTGTCGGCAGAAATGAACATCATCTGCGAGCAGCCGCACCCCAGACAAACCCGTATATGAGACGCCTGGAACGTCTGGCTGATGAGCTAGTGTGGCAACATCAGTCACAAGGTCTGATGTTATCAGATGTTTCCCATGGAGACGCTGTCACATGGTCCACACGACTGCTGCGGAGACTTTCCGAGGCAGATGCTGCCCTCGGCCATGATGCTGCTGAGCCGAGAACGTGTGGGTTCAGCGCGTTTACCTTCTTGGCGTTTCTGAAGTCGTTTTTGACAACATCTATTGTACTTTTAAATGTTGTGAACAACAATAATAACAACAATAATAACAATAACAATAACAACAACAATAATAATAACAACAATAACAACAATAACAATGATGGTGGAGGTGGTATGCGTTCTTTACCAGACGATATTTCCCCATCATCTGGTTTTATTTACCAGTTTTATCGCCATTTTTCTGCCGCTGCAATGGGTTTTAAGATGCTTGCATTACCGGAAGAAAAGCACGGCACTGTGTTCAAAGTAGATGATGCGTGGGCTTCAGGTGCTTTTGAAATTGTGAAGGAGTTCTTGGCTGGAATCGTTTTTCTGTTCAATACACGATGACGACGCTTATGCAGTGGTTTTTCGTCGTGTTCGTATGCTGCACAGTGCACATCAAATGCGAGTAGTTTAGTTCAACATTGAAAAGCTTGTCGTACGGCACAAAGCTCAAATGCAAATAGATCCACACCATAGGGTACTAAATTTTGTTGTGGAACTTCCAGACGCGTTTCAAAAGTTTGTTTCGTGTTAAAAGAGCATTCGTTCAAATATGCGTACTGTGTAATCGTTGCATCTATTGTAATATCACTACAGTTTTTTTTTTAACAGAACAGAAAAATAGAACCGTAAAGCGGAATTCAGGCTAGATGATATTTGGTGCTTCCTCAATCTTTATCCAGATTCCAGATTGTATTCTGCTTAATTCGGTGGTGCTTTATATATTGATCACCGTGTTACAGATGATGCTCACAAACTTCTTATTGACAGCGTACGGCAGGAAATTAGCTGAAAACGGTGCTTACAGTGCTCCTCTGTACGTACCGACATGACGTGTAATTTGAGCCATTACTTTGTACCACTTAAGCGAGTAGATTTAGTGTCAATGAGCAACACGCTCGTAATAAGATGGCTAATTTTATGGATATCTGGGCTCTGAGTGGCGTATTTTTAACGCTGCTCTAATCTGCCGCCATAATTTCTGCAGGCTAACGGCAGTATCACCGCCTTTCCGCCGCTCGTCTGTGATTTATTGAGCAGCTTGTCGCTAGAAGAGACGATGAACTCGCAGCGCCTATCCTGGCCAGCCTGGTTTCCATTACTCACGGTGAGCCGTGAATAATTGCGCGTCCTGAAACGATTAGCATAAACAAAACCGCCGGGTTATGGCACTGGCTACGCTCTGGCACGTGAGAAAATTTGCTCCGGAGCTCTTTGGACTACTGGAAGGCGCTCAGCATGCCATTTACTCACGCAGTCAAGCGGTCACTAAGCCCGTCTCAGCACAGTTATATGTGACCTGGTGTGTACGCATATGAACCAGAGTCGCCTTCGAGATGCGCTTCACACACACTGCGCACAGCTGTGGTGTTACGCTCCGGTATTTTTCCGGATGGCAGAGCCGTATGCGAGATGTGTGTAGCGGTTCGAGATGTAACAGCGGACTCGGCTGGCGCAGAGGCGATGCGTGGCGACCTGGTGGTGCGGCTGTGCGCGCTGCTGGGTCAGGGGGCGGACTCTGCGATTCTGCCAGCGTGGCCCCGCAGACAGCAGAGCTCGTCTCTAGCGGAGGGTGTCGTATCGCTCATGCGTGCTCACAAAGCGACAGGTAACTTTCCAGGCTCTAACAGAGGCCCTGAGCGGGTGGTGGCAGCCTGGGACAGCATTTCAAGATCAAGCAGAGTTCAATAAAAGGGGCTTCATAAAGCCAATATCATTGGTAAATAGCGACACCTGCTGAAGGAAGACTGCGAACAAGATTGTTCTTGTTCTGCGAACAAGATTACTAACACAACATACAAGATCTTTGTGATTCGTATTTTCAGAAAACAAGTTATATAAAATGTTCGGAAGTCTCCATGATGCCTGGAAGCTGAGTGTGATTCTTCTGTGCGCCGCGGCTGAAGGTTTTGAAGGTCTGCCTGCCGACTCGTTGTTTCAAGATAAGCTTCTTGTAGACTTGGACAAGCAGATTCGCATAGGCGTCAGGTGAGTCGGACTTTGTTGGAAATATGGAGATAAATGTCAGGGTTTATTCTGTCATGTCAGCATGTTCATATAACATTTTATGTGCTACAAATGCTGGACAAACGTGTGGATTTGTCGTGGATTTATGAGTACGTTTATGAATAATTGCGCATACATTAACTTTCCAGCACAGGCCAATCCTCCAATCCTGTATCATCACTGGCAAAACTGCTTATCAAACCATTCTCGCGTGACTGTACATCCTCACAGCACCATTGTTCTGACTATGGTTCTGACAGAGCTGTGTTTGCGTCGGCAGCTCGATCCAGACGCGCTCGATGAGCGGGTACGGCGGCTGCTCGGACGCCTTTTCCGTGTTCGGCTTCCTGGCCTTTCTGCTGGCGCTGCTAGACCTCATCATGGACCTGCAGGGGAACACCGACGGGGGCGGCGGGGACGGAGGAGGGGACGGAGGCGGCCGCAGGAGGAGGCGAGACCTGCCGCCCGGCTGCACGGTAAGCTGCCCACAGTGGTATATTCTCTCGATGCTCAAATTATATGACTAAATTGAAAGCATGTTACTCATACGCGTCTCGTACATGTCGTACATATCAAAAGGAGTGTCATGCTGGCCAAATGAGATGCCAACTGTCCACACAAGATTCAAATGCTGTACTGAAGTAAAGACACTACATTTCGAAGCCTGGCTTATTACATGTCTACAGCGTTCGTTGGATAGCAGCCTGCGAGGCTTTCTTGCTTCGTACGTCATAGTTTCAATCTATTCTTAGCGTAACGTGTTGATGACATGGATGACTGAGCCGCTAGTTTCCACACAGTTGAAAATTACGAGACCATTAGTCCAAGAATTAGTTACCCTAGATTGGCAATTCCTTCTAAATGAATTTCCGGGGGCAAAGATTCGGCTTCTGCAAATGGCGTCTCTCTCACCCTGGTGTAAGTCATTTGCATGGAAACAGAGGCTCCTCGCCCAGAATAACCCCTCTTCGGTTAATGAAGGCGTATTCTCACCAAAGTTACGCGAAGTGAAGTTGAGTGGCCCTCATGACGTGGGAAAGAGATGATATTACCATTGCCAGCTAACGAAGGTCCCACTTGGTAAATTAATTAGCAGCTTCGTTGTTTGGTGGGTCCTTACATTATTTGAATTTCGCTTAGAACATCACAAGTTCATTGTTGTCATCGTTAAAAACCAGTATAGCGCCTTATGGGGCGACTAACGGAGCGAGCGAGAGGGTGGGCCTTGCACGTGCGAAATTGCGTGGGGGTACCTCCAACTGACTTGTGCACGGCACCCTACTAACCGGTCTCTAGCGATGTGCCGAATTTGAGCACAATCGGCCCAGCCGTTCTCGAGATCTGGAAGCGGCACCCTGCACGTGCGCACGTGCAAAATGGTTCCCAACTGACTTGTGCACAGCACCCTACTAACTGCTCCGTAACCGTGTACCAAATTTGAGCGCAATCGGTCCAGCCGTTCTCGAGATCTAGAATCGACCCCTGCACGTGCGCACGTGCAGCAGCACCCCAACTCTGGCACATGGATATGCATTGACTAGTGGGTGCCTACCTACATGCCAACTTTCAGCGCAATCGGCCAAGTAGTTACCGAGATATTGCAACAATTACAAAAGTGACACCTCTTCGTTTTGCACGTGGCACGTGCATAAGGGGTCACCTACATGCATCGGGAATAGTCCAATACTTGGTAGAAGGAATGAAGCTACCCTACAAAAATTACCGCGTGTAAATCGGTCAAGTGGTTGCTGAGATATAAGCGTCGCAAAACCGTGACCACGGCCGGCCGGCCGGCCGGCCGGCCGGCCGCTCATACTCAGAAATTTCCGTTAATCTAAGGAAAGACTCCGCTCGCTTCGCTCGCTCCGTAATGATAAAATAGGTTAATGTTTTTATATTTATGGGTCTAAGATACTTGAACTAGCCTTTCAGTGTCTACCATT